GTATAGTCATGTGATGGCTCCTTTTAGCAGGATAACTTACCATGTCACAAAACTCAAATCATTCTCAAACTGGTTTCTTGAACATTACAATGAGATCACGATAGTCAGCTAGCCTCCAGTCACCAGATCTCAATCCAATAGAGCATTAGCGATTGATGCTTTCGAAGCACTGCTTTTTGTAAATCATTTGTTTCAAACAAGTGGTTTGGAGCATTTATCAAACTTCCAAAGTCACGTTTTCAATAAACAAGGCTTAATCAAGTCACAACAGTTTCGAAATGTCAGTGATTCTCTGGTTGGGGGTTGATCTCTGTAAACCTATGATAGCCACTGATACCACATTAGCAGTTGTGCTGTAGTAACACTACACTATCATAACTAATAACAAAATGTAATAATAACACTCCTAATATTCTATAATAATGACAGCATCTTGCATGGTGTGCCCCTGATATAATCTATAGTGTGTTTGTGTGCTACAAGCAGTGTGCAAACCGTACTACAAGCGCCATCTAGTGTTGAGTTACTATTTATCTAATATAAATACATGAATTAAAAAGCTTTAAAAATTAGTTGGTTAGGTGCTGTATTCATATCTTGATTAAAGCTCAACAACTGAATCCTGAAATGCTAAAGGTTGAGGTTTGATGTATTTCTAATAATAACTCAAAAATGCAATTTATGATAAAGTCCCAGATTCCAAGCAAAGAATGTTTTGTCTTTATTATACATAGTAATTTTAAAGAAAATTGACCTGTTTAATCCCAAATTTTTCCCAGACATGAAAATATCCAAATGATGTGTCATTAGTAACCCTTTGCAATAATCAAATATTTAAAAAAAAAATATTGGGGGGAAAAGTGTGTGCAAAATTGTGGTATAATGTGTATACTGAATTAACATATTTCTGAGGTCATCAAAATTTGTGTATATCTCAGCCCAGCTACTTTAAACTATGTTTGATCAGATTCTAGGGTTACTATTACGCATAAAACCCCTTATACAACACTGATAGGAATACTGAGGAAAAAAAAGACAAAAAATACAACCATCAACGTATTTCAAAATTGTTACTTTATTAATGTAACATCACAAAATTGTTATATAACTGCAACCAGTATTACATAATCAATATAGTAATTTAATTTATAACATTTACAATTTGAATTTAGTGCAGTATTCACTATAACTTTGCCATTGCAACATTTTAGAGAAACCTTCACTAACAGCTGCAATTGGATTTATATGTATACCTAAAATATCCCACCGGTCACTATTGTGACCATCAACATGTTTACTCATTCTATGACCACACTCAACAAAACTGAATATATGTGAATTCATATATATTAATACTAGACACCTTAAAGATAATGTGTACCAAAAATCTTTGTCATATCTTTATGTTACTAGCCTTTTGTTTTGGAGCTTTGATGCAGTTATCATCTTCTCAAGGTGCAAACAGGAAATAAACTGCTCTGGTCATGTGACAATTTGCACTAATCATGTGGAACTGCACATATTTAATTGAGACCCTTTATTTTTTTCCATATTTGCAGGAAATGCACTAAAACACCAGTCACTCAAATTTTTAGAGCTTTATAAATGAAAACCTTCTTTATGATCACTATTGTGACCGGTGGGATTAAATGAATTAAGGCAAGACACTACAGGTGAATAAGGTAAATATTATATCACCATATTTCCTCAGATGATCAATCACAGTACACAAAGACAATTTTTTACTAAACAAATATATATATATCAACAAATACATACAAACAAAATAAATAAATATATACAATATATTCAAACTAAATGAAAAAAATAAATTTACTAGCCAATGGCGATTTTTTATTTATTTATTTATTTTAAAGTAGAAAAAGGGAATAATGCCACCCATACACTACAAAATTTAAAGTTGTCAGATCCCTTTTACAGTATGCAATTGTTTTTGGGAATCTTAAAGTTATTGCAGTTTACACTACATGACATGTTGGTGACTGGGTGTAACACATTACACTATTTCACTAGGAAGAATCCTCCACAAATCCTCATCTCATGCACAAAAGGCATGAGTGAGAAGTGAAATGACAATGATGTAAGATCACACGTGAGCCGAACTCTGGTGTGAGACTGGAACTCTCCCTTGCCCTGTATTATGCTCTCTTATTGGCTATAAGTCACCGCCGATGTCATTACAAGTTAAAACACATTTCACACTGCTAGACACTGAATCGCAGACAGGTCCAGATTTTTATCCTGCTATAGGCTGCTAAATATTTGTTGAGCATCTGCGACACATCAACGGTTCTCTTAAATCACGTCTTTGATATTTCAGACCATGTGAACTTCACTCATGTAAACTAGCACCTATTTGCCGCAGATTTCAAGTTTTGTCAGCGATCTCCACAAAACTTCACTGATGTGAGTGAAAATTGGGGATAAAATTGTGTAGTGTATACCCGGCCTAAAGGAACAAAAGCTTTGCCAAAAAAAGAAGAAAAAAAAATGAAACAATTAAACAATAAGCTGACTAGCTAAAGGCAGATGTATATACACAAATTATGTGCACAAGATGTTTACAAGCACTGGTTTAGACGTGCAACAGTGTAGCATCCAATGGATTCGCACTCCCAGTCTCCCTCGCTGGCAGTGACACTATTCTACAAACACATAAAGAACACAAATATTACATGAAATCAAATCCCATTGGACAAATGCATCTCTGCTGAAGATTCTTAATGAACAAAACTAAGAGAGACCGAAAGGAGAAAACACCTGTAATGGACAGATGATGTGAAAGACTGAATATTTACCTTTAATGCTGCACATGAATTCCATTAGCATTCCCATTAGAAGCATTGACCTTAGGAGGTATAAATGGAATCATATTTGGTTCAGAAGACAAGACGTCTGCATAAATCCCCTGTAAGAAAACATGCATTCACAGAAAGTCAAAGAAATAAACAGGACTAATGATTCATTTACACAAAAATACTCAAACAGTGTTGTTTTTCCTGATGTTTGCAGAATGTATGGTAGTTTCCTTTTCCTAAATATTTAACACTTCTTAAATGTTTCTCTTAATGAATCTACAGTCTCCACCACACTGTTATCTTTTGTACTGCAGTAATACAAAAGGTTTGCATGCCATAGGGTGTGAATTATTGTGATTAAAATACATCTTATGTTGGTGAGTATTAAGACAGTCTTGTTCTCAGAATAAAGTGGTACTTAGTGGTTTTATATTACTGTTATTTGGTTTATTTGGGAGATATCTGAATGTTTTTTTTTTGTTTGTTTATAAATGGCCTCACTGGTGAAGTTTTGCCTTGGTATGAAAAAATAAATAAAGGAGAAGAAACAACAGATTCACCGTGAACATTTGTTACACCCAGACCCTAAAGTGAAGTCAGAACATGTTAAATAAATAATTCACAAAAAACAATTATATAAAAACAATATTTAAAAAAAGAAATACTGTTCTTCACTGTTCTTCATTCCGAGTAAAACAGTACAAAAGCAGCAGTATCTTAAAGAGTCAATTATTGTTGGTGTTTCTGTGTACTGATTTATAAATTTCTCACAGATCTGAATCTGTGGTTATTTATTTATTTAAGCAGACAGGTTCAGTCCTCATAGTATCTCACCTGATCACGATTGTTCTGTGTCTGTTTGGAAAATAAACAATTAAACATTACTTTGGTTAATTACAATACAAAATATATATTTTCACATCTTTTAAATAATATTTCCACATAATACATCCCATGCTGTATGTAATACTCACCTTTCCTTCTTGCTCTGCGATAGAGGAACACAGCAGCTACTGCAGCAATGAGCAACAGAACAACAACAATCCCTGCTATAACACCTGGAGAAAGACCTGACTCTGGAACAGATAAAGACAGACAGTCATTATTATTAGAGAGTGACTGATTATCCATCCACTATTTACCAATATCTTTAATTTATATTTACAGCTTTCTACATTGTTCATCAGTTGTATGATATTGATTTAACTGATAAATGGCACCTTCTGGTGTTTTTTTAGGAACAGCAACTAAAGCAGCATCACAGCACTGTGAGCTCAACTAGAAACAGCAGTATGTTGCAGTATGACTCTGGCTAACAACTTGAAAACTGTCACTTTGAGATTCATGTGAAGATGATACTGACAATATACAATACAAATTATATTTTAACACCGAGTCATAGATCACTTTCAAACAGGCCACAATAATATTAAATACATTTATATTAACTAAATTATTTATTACATAATTAAAAATAACATTAACTTGACAATAATTTTGGACTATATTCTAAAGTAAGAGGGCAAAGGCATTGAATAACTAATTTATACTCACCAATGACAGTTAAAACAGTTGATATTCTGCTAATACTGAAGCTGCTGCTGTTGATCTGTAGTGTATAGAGTCCAGAGTCTGTGGTTCTGGTGTTGCTGATGGTCAGAGATCCAGTCTGATGATCCAGCTTCAGTCTGTCTCTGAATCTCTCTTTACACTGATCATCTGTACAGATCTTACTCTGATCTCCAGTGATTTCAGCAATGAGAATGTCACTAAAATACCACGTCATCACACTATTCAGGTTTTTTACTACACCAGGATCTAAAGTAACAGATTCTCCCTCCTTCACTGACTTTCTCTTCATTTTATCTCGTTCAGCAGCAGAAACTCCTGAAACACAAACCAACAGCTGCTGGAGGATCGTTTTGGAGGAAAAAACCTCAACAAGATAACTGATTAATCATAATATAAGAAAACTAGTAAAACAAGTACTTCACATACTCTTTCTAGACTTGGACTAAAATGCTAAATGTCTCTATATGTTGTGCTTACGTTGAACATACATCCTGGACAGCTAAAACACAATAATTAAGAAAAATTAGATAAGAAAATGTGACCAGAGATGATTTCAGAGATTAGAAATGGAAATAATTATGTTCTGTTTAGTGATACAGGAAAAGAGGAGCTTGGAATGCCACTGTTATAATAAACATATATAATCTGTTTCTAAATATTCATGAAATGACTCACCATGTACGGAAACACTGAAGATCTTGTCACTGAAGCTGCCACTGTTGATTACCTTTCGTCTATAAACTCCAGTGTCTGTGTTTGTGATGTTTGTGATGGTCAGAGATCCAGTCTGATGATTCAGTTTCAGTCGGTCTCTGAAAATCTCTTTACACTCATCATATGTACAGATTTCTCTCTTTTCTCCAATGATTGCAGCGACTTGGATGTCATTAAAATACCACCTTATCTTTCCTTGTTGATTTGCTTCAATATTAGTGTGTAGAGTGACTGAATCTCCCTCCATCACAAACACTGGCACTTCATCTGCACCAACACCAGACACACCTGGAAGAGAACAAATTAACATTTAATTAAATCTGTGATAGTGGGACTAAATTACACAACACCTAAGCACTTTCAACATGTTTCAGACATATTTCACTGTCTAAAAAAATAGTAGATTTAAATATGTCCAGGTTGCATTCATTTACAAGTGTAGTAGACTATCAAAACTAGACTTCTTATGTCTCGCCTGCTTCTCCCTATGAGGGGTGAGATTTTGATTAGGTGTGGGGGTGGGCTTTAGAGATGGAGTCCAATCAGGTAGCAGTATCCCTACAGCAGTTTTCTCCCATTGTTCAGTTCATGTAGGCATATGGTATTTAATGATTTATAAACAGCATTTAACAGATTATTCTTCTAATAAAATATTTGCAATAGGTTTGTAAAAGGTGCTTCTATTTGCATGTTTGACCTGAGATTATGTTGAATCTAAAGTTTTGACCAGCAGATGTCACCAGCATGTGATGTGAATCATTGTCCGAAACAATTGATTCAAAGTTTCAAAAAGCTTAATTTCTACCATCACGAATCATAACCCATAATGGGAAATGCGTTGCGTAAATAAAATAGCAGTGTCTGAATCTGTGGGTGAGCACATTACTGATCTTACAAAGTTGAAAAAGGGCACCTATTCATCTTTTCATCGCTCTTAACACTTTCTGAACCGTGGTATTGTGTCAGAAATATGGGTATCTGTATCGAATTGTATTAATGTAGACATGTATTATATGTAGTAAAAAAGTAAAAGAACATAATTGCAGTATTTTTTGTGATTAAGCTATAGCGTTTGGGCATTTATACTACATTTATTTAGACTACTGTTTTTCATACAAACACCTAAACACTTAATTCATTCATGTTACTATGGAAGACCATTGGTTAATAAAAAAAACAAAAAACAAACATTTAAAAATGAGGTTGCTACAATTTTTACAGATGTTAC